TTTTCTTTTTTCTTTTTTTTATTTATTTATTTTATTTATTCATTTGACAGAAATCACAAGTAGGCAGAGAGAGGCAGGCAGAGAGAGAGAGGAGGAAGCAGGCTCCCCGCGGAGCAGAGAGCCTGATGTGGGGCTCGATCCCAGGACACTGGGATCATGACCTGAGCCGAAGGCAGAGGCTTTAACCCACTGAGCCACCCAGGTGCCCCTATTCCTTTACATCTTGTTTGTAGCAATGTTCACTCTTTATTTCTAAATTTGGTAATTAGTGTTTTTTGACCTTTTTTTTTGGTAAATCTAAAGATTTACCATTTTTAGATCTTTTTGAAGAACCAACTTTGGGTTTTTCCCCCCACCTTTATTTCTGTTTCACTGATTTTTACTAATATTTGTATTTTCCCTCATGACTGCCTTGTTTAATTTGCTCAGTTTTTTTATGCTTAGATTGTTGATTTGAGACCTCTTTTCTTTTTTTTTTTTTTTTTAAAGATTTTATTTATTTATTTGAGGGAGAATGAGTGAGAGAGAGCGTGAGAAAGGAGAAGGTCAGAGGGAGAAGCAGACTCCCCAAGGAGCTGGGAGCCCGATGCGGGACTCGATCCTGGAAGTCCGGGATCATGACCTGAGCCGAAGGCAGTTGCTCAACCAACTGAGCCACTCAGGCACCCTCTTTGTTTTTAAAATTATAAATTTTCCTCTACTTCACTGTCTTCATTATTGATATGTTATATTTTTGCTTTTATTCAGTTCAAGATGTTTTCTAATTTCCTTTGTGATATATTCTTGGACCTGTGGTTTTTTATGTGTATTGTTTAATTTCCAAATATTTGGGATTTACTAAATTTCTTTCTGTTGATACTAATTTAATTCCACTGTGGCTTGAAGAATTCCAGGTATTTTAAACCCAGAAAGACTTTTTCATAGTTGAATTGGTCTGACCCGAAGAATGCTCCATGTGCACTTAAAAAGAACGTGTGTTCTGTTATTGGTGGATTGAGTGCCGTTTAATTGTCGGCAAAGTAAAATTGATTGATAATGTTCAGGATTTCCATATCCTTACTGATTTCTCTATGTAGTTTTTTTTTTTTTTTTCTTCAGGTATTTAGAGGGAGCCATTGAAAAGCAAATAGGGGTGCCTGGGTGGCTCAGTTGGTTAAGCATCTGCCTTCAGCTCAGGTTATGATCCCAGCATCCCTGGATGAGGTCCCTCATTGGGCTTCCTGCTCAGCAGAGAGCCTGCTTCTCCCTCTGCCTGCCGCTCCCCCTGCTTATGCTCTCTCTCTATTAATTAAAATCTTTAAAAAATAATAATCCTCAATTGCCTCTTTTTCCTTTTATTCTGCTACCATTATTAGGTATCTTTACATTTGATTGATAAACCTTCCTGATACATTTATATGTTTTCTTTGTCTCAAGTAATATTTCTTATCTTAAACTCCAGCTCTCGTATGGTTTCTATTTGCATGGTATATCTTCTCATCTTTTAGTTCAACCTACTTGTGACTTATTTTGTTTGTTTTAAGGATTTTATTTATTTGACAGAGAGCAGAAGCAGGGGGAGCAGCAGGAATAGGGAGAGGGAGAAACAGGCTACCCGCTGAGCAGGGGGCCCGACAGGGGCTTGATCCCAGGACCCTGGGATCATGATCTGAGCTGAAGGCAGGCACTTAACCAGCTGAGCCACCCAGACACCCCTACTCATGACTTTGAATCTTAGGTGTTTCTTCTATAGATAATGTATAGTTGGGCCTTTTTTTAAATTTTTTTAATCCAGTCTGACCATCTCTTCTGAGTAGATTGTTTATACTCTTGTTCATATTTAGTGTAATTATTGCTGTGGTTGGTTTTATGTTTGCCATTTTGCTTCTTGTTTTAGATTTGACTCAAGTGTTTTTGTTCTCTGTCCCTCCTTTAACTGTTTTTTTTTTTTTTTTTGTATGATTAGTGATTTCCAGTTGTATCCTGGACATTCTGGGTGTTATATTGGGAGACTCATAATCATATTTCATTTTTAGTAGGTATTCTTATTTAGATGTAGTGCATGGGGTAGATGTTCAGCTCCCTGCCAGGCCATGCTGGCATTATGTCAGCAAAAGTGGAGCCCAGGCTTTTTTTCTCCTCCTTGTTGGATGGGATGTAAAATCAGCTCTATACTGGGCTCCACTGACACATAAATGACTGCGAAAGGGAGATGAGGTGCTCACTTCCCCTTGCCTCCTACATTACTGATGCTGGATGGGGATGGAGGCTCTATGACTTCATTTTAACAGAATTAGGATGATGAAGTTATATGTTTCATGTTTTCTTGGCAAGTAAAAACTTGACAAATCTCAATCTGTTCTAAGTTGCATTAGCCATCTATATACTGGTGGTGTCCATAAGAATGAAGTCCCTCTTAATTAAGCCAAATACTATTATTTAAAAACTTGAAAAGTACCAGAATGAGATAAGTGTTTTTAGCAGGCAAAAGTTATTTTGAAGAAGTCTGTGTGTTTGTAAGAAACAAAGGAGTAATACATAAAGTTATTCAAATATTTTTATTTGGGATTTTTCTTTAAAATTCAGGGACTAAAACACCTTGGTGTTCCTAAAAGAGGATTCAGTTATGAGCTACAACTCAGTTATGAGCTACTACAACTCAGGTTTAGAAGTACTTTGAAACCTCAACCAAAGGTTCCTTGACCAAAGAATAATTTTGTGCCAATACCGTTTGGGCCGTAGAACTCCATTTTTAGACTGAGGGGTCGTGATAGGGCACTGAAATAAGAGGATAGAGTGGTAAGAGATAGTGGGCATATTCGGGGGTTATTGAAGCCATCTCCCTCTTTTCCCCTAGGAATTTACAGGTGGCTACATTAACCTTTATCTGTTAATGGAAGGAAGGGGCAGCCTCTATTGCCAGTTAGGGAAGTAAATATAGGAATAGCAGAAGGGAAGGGTAGTTTGTCATGTAGGGTCAGCAAGACTTGGTAATAGATTATAGGTGAAGGTAAAACAGAGGAATCTAAAATTACTCTTACATTTTTAGCTTTTATAAGTGAAAGAGTTATGGTGCCATTAACAAAAATAGGAAAGCTTCCATGCATGTAATATAGGAGAGATAATGATGCTTTAGTGTAATTGATGTTGAATTATTTTATTCAAGTAGTTTATAGTAGATTCTGTCTTTTTAAAGATTCTAAAAGCACCTTACAATTTTTTATGAAAGCTTTATTGGGATATAATTTATGTACTATAAAATTTACCCATACCTGTGTAATTTATGTACAAGAAAACTCATCATATAATTCAAGAATATAGTATATTTACAGTCATGACATTGTTACCACAACCATCACCACCACCATTTTAGAATATTTCTGTTACCTTAAAAGAAATCTCTTCCCCATTCCTTGTTCCAGTCCTAGGTGTTGTAATCTAATTTCTGTTCTGTGTTCTTTTCTAGACATTTCCTATAAGTGGAATCATATAATATGTATCTTTTTGGTCTGGCTTCTTTGAGCATGTTTTTGAGGCTCACTCTCCTTGTACTTTTTACAATTAGTATATTCCTCTACTATTAGCTATGAAACTAAGTACGCATGAATCATATGGGTAAACTGTGTGACACCAGTCAGTGTAGGGAAAAGTTGTGTGTTGAAAGAGTGATGATACTATTAGAAAATGATTTCATTAATGCTTATTCACCTAAGAGGTTTTGTTTGCTAAGTATTTGGTAACCTAGAATATCTGTATATGATAGTTATTACAATTACAATGGGAATGCTGTGACAGAGCTTGATTATGAAACATTTGTAGTGTTTAACTTGGAAAGAGAATGAGCCCCCCCTTGGTTTCTTTTTGTTTTGAACTGTTAATAAGTTATTTAATAAATTGAGATTTCATTCCATTTTTATCCAAATAAACATGGATTGTTGACTAGAGAAATTATTTACCCTGTTAGCCTTGGTTATATCTTGAGAAGAGTTAAATAGTTTGATGTAAGTGACACATCTAAGTTATATGTAGGAGAGATGAGAAAAGAGATGGAAAATGTATATAGTGTCACTAGCAAGTAGTTCGTCAATTCTAGTACGATAGAGATATATTTAAGTATTTGTGCCAGAACACACTTCATTTTATTAGCCTAACTTGATCAATGTAAAATGTGAAATTACTAACTCCTGGCCTTATTGAAACATTTAACTATGTGGATAAATCTAATTATGCTTTTCTTTACTTCATTAATTCCACTTAAAGTGTCTTAATTTGGGAACCACTCTGGTTAGAATTCAAGTAACTTCACATTTTTCATATGGCATCATATTTGAAATAAATCAGTATCAATTGACATAATCTAGACCAATCTGAGGAAAAAACTATGAAGTAGAAAAACTGTTTCCTTCTGTTGTCTTATGCTTACCTTTCCTTTTTGCATCCTTTCCACAGGAGCTTATAAAATACTGTCCTATTCTTCTTTCCCGAGAATGAAATAAACTTCATAAATGGATTCATACTAAGCTATTAAGGATTTATAGCTTGAAAAGAGGGCTATAGAGTGTGTACTGCTTAACTAAAAGGAATGAATCACTAATAGGAGAATTTTTATGTGGTTTGTGGTAGGAAGGGGACTGGGAGGTGGAAAATAAGGTATTTATCTCCTCATTCTGTCTCCTAGACAATACTTAATGATATGGTTATATTAAGGAGTTGGCTAAATACTAGTGAAAACAGAATTAACTGTTGTAAAGACAGATGTTTACTCATAGTTTTTGTAATGAGCCTACAAGAAAAGTTAGACATTTTAGGATTGGACAGTTGGCTTCATTTGGGTTTATTTGAAATTTGGCTTGTTTTAGTGTCATTTTCTTTTTATGCATGAAGTAAAATGTGGATGATTTTGAAGATGATCTGTGACATGTACAGTGCCCCCTCCCATTTATATCTATCCAAAAGGATCTCTATCTTATGACCTTATGCTTAATAATGAATGCTACCCTTATGTTTTTGTTTTCTTCTAGGCTGTATTCATCACCAAAGAAAAAACTTACACCAGTGCAGAAATCAGTTAGCCCATTAGTTTGGTGCAGGCAAGTTTTGGATTACCCAAGTCCTGATGTTGAATGTGCTAAAAAGTCTCTTATCCACAAACTTGATCAAACTATGTCAGGTATGTCTATAATTTTACTTTTAAATTCATCTCTTTCTTTAATAAAAAACCAGATAAATGTTGAGTGGGTATGTTTTTAGGAAGGCTGTTCTTTCTTTGATAGTGTTTTTTGAATCTCATTGTGCATGCCATCGTGAGTTTTTGCCATATGCACATAACCTTGTGCTATTACTTAATAGCTTTTGTCCCAATCTTTTCATTTTTATTTCATTTCATCCTAAAAAATAATATCCATGGGAGCACCTGGGTGGCTCAGTTGGTTAAGCGTTTGCCTTCGGCTCAGGTCATGGTCCTGGGGTCCTGGGATGGAGCCCCACATCAAGCTCCTTGCTCAGCTGGGAGTCTGCTTCTCCCTCTGATGCTCTCTCCTGCTCATGAGCTCACTCACTCTCTCTTTCTCAAATGAATAAATTTTTAAAAATCTTTAAAAAAATGTCCATGAAACAATAGGTTTTATACAGCAGGGTTTGTTTGTTTTTTCTCCCAATACAAGTTAAAACAAATAATTGTTAAAAAAAAAAAAATTAGGGGGCGTCTGGGTGGCTCAGTTGTTTAAGTGCCTGCCTTCGGCTCAGGTCATGATCCTGGAGTCCTGGGATCAAGTTCTGCATCCGGCTCCCTGCTCAGTGGGGAGTCTGCTGCTCCTGCTGACCTCTCTCCTCTCATGCTCTCTCTCTCTCTCAAATAAATAAATAAAATCTTAAAAAAAAAATAGATTCAGTATCATCTAAAATCATCTCACTACCCTTGGGGAAAATTCTGATGTGGTGGAAAGGTACAGGCTAAGAGACATCATTCTCACTCTAGCACTTAGTTACTGAGTGACTCTGAGCATTATTTAACTTCTGTGAACTCAGTTTTCTCATAAGAATGATGAACTTTATATGGTTATTTTAAGGACTAGATGATAATGTTTATGCAAGAATGTAACATGTTTCTCTGGCTCATAGTAGGTACTTAATAAATGCATTCATTTTCCTTCCCTTGTTTTTTGTTTCTAACTTGGCATTTTAGTTCACATTGCTTTTATGCTCTTTTGTTTAATAGCACTCACAAAGCTGACAAAATGTGTCTGTCACTACTTATGGCATTTAATATAGCATGCCAGTGTGGGTAGAAATGTAGGAAAAATATTATTGACTCTTTCTTGGAATTTCAATCTCTTAAGAATGTTACTATTTTTTGGAATACTTATATAATGAGGAACTGATGTGTGATTACTCATCCTAAATAGGTTTTCTGTTTTTTTGTTTTGCCTTGTGTTTACTTGATAGCCATGTACTTAAAATTACTTATTTTGCTTAACTGTTAAAATCGTGCTCTTATTAGAGTGTAAGCTGAAAATGTTCGGGGAAGACAAAGGGGAGACTAAACAGTTAAATTGGCATACAATAAAGCATAGCTTGGTTGGCTAGAAGTAGTGGTTATTGTATGGAAATAACATAAGATGTGATTATAGAGCTTCTGAATCTGTTTTGACACCAAATTGTTAATTTTTCCTCATGTAGGGGATCCTTTTTTAAAAAGGAAACGCTTTTATGTAATTTTAAAAAATGTTTTTTCTCCTCCCTAACTATTAACCGGGCCTGACTCTGCTTAGCTTCCAAGACCAGACAAGATTGGTATGTTCAGGGTGGTGTGGCCATAGACCAAAAATGTTTTTCCTGAATACTAAGTGTTTTTAGAATTATATCCTGGGGCTTGATTTAAATTGTATTCATAAGATTATTAGAAATATGTAAACAAGGTAGTAGACGATTTGTAAAAAGTGGAAAATTTCTAACTCATTCCAGTGAGGTGATATTAATTAAAGATTTATTTATTGAGAGAGCACATGTGCGTTTACACACATGTGTGAGCCGAGGGAGAGGGAGAGAATCTCAAGCAGACTCCTCACTAAGCACAGAGCCCAGTGCACTGCTTGATCTCATGGTCCTGTGATCAAGACCTGAGCTGAAATCAAGAGTCAGACATTTAACCCATTGAGCCACCCAGGTGCCCCTAGTTGATGTAATTTAGATGTTTTTTTTAATTTTTGTTTTTTAAAGATTTTATTTATTTATTTATTTATTTGACAGAGAGAGACACAGCAAGAGAAGGAACACAAGCAGGGGGAGTGGGAGAGGGAGAAGCAGGCTTCCCGCTCAGCAGGGAGACCAATGTGGGGCTTGAACCCAGGACCCTGCGATCATGACCTGAGCTGAAAGCAGATGCTTAACTGAGCCACCTAGACACCCCTATTTAGATGTTTATTAAAAACATCTTGGGGGCGCCTGGGTGGCTCAGTGGGATAAAGCCTCTGCCTTCGGCTCAGATCATGATCCCAGAGTCCTGGGATCGAGCCCCGCATCGGGCTCTCTGCTCAACAGGGAGCCTGCTTCCTCCTCTCTCTCTGCCTGCCTCTCTGCCTACTTGTGATCTCCATCTGTCAAATAAATAAATAAAATCTTAAAAAAAAAAAAAATCTTGGTCGGGGCGCCTGGGTGGCACAGTGGGTTAAACCTCTGCCTTCAGCTCAGGTCATGATCTCAGGGTCCTGGGATTGAGCCCCACATCGGGCTCTCTGCTCAGGAGGGAGCCTGCTTCCCCCTTTCTCTCTTCCTGCCTCTCTGCTTACTTGTGATCTCTGTCTGTCAAATAAATAAATAAAATCTTAAAAAAAAAAAAAAAACCTCGGTCAGATGTGGGGAGAAGAGTCAAGAAGGGAGAGGAGTAGCAGACTGAGATAACATCAGGTTGTAGGAGTTCAGCTAGATAGTTATCAAACCATTCTGAACACCTACAAACCCAACAGGAGATCGAAGAGAAGAAGAGCAGCAATTCTAGGAACAGAAAATCAACTACTTTCTGAAAGGTAGGACATGCAGAGAAGTGAATCCGAAGTGAAAGGAAGATAGACTGCAGGGGGAGGGGCCGAGACCTGGTAAGCGGTGAACAACAGAGCACAAAATCCGAACTTTTAGGAGTCTGCTCCACTGAGGGACGTCGCTCCAGAGGCTAAGTGAGGGTGGAGCCCTCGAGGTGACAGTGTGGTCTCAGGTCCCGCAGGGTCACAGAAGGATCAGGGGTATCTGAGTGTGGCAGAGCTCACAGGTTTCAGAGCGGGGAAGCCGACTACAGAGACCAAGCCGAGGAGTGAGCTTTCAGCTTGGGGTTACCTTAAACCATGATCCAGCAATCGGGCCACTGCTCTTTGAGCAGGGACCCCACAAGTGGCAGATCTGGGGAGACCCCCCTTCCTCTGCCGGAAGAGCAGCGCGGCAGGAATCTGCTGGGTATGGAGACTCCAAATGGGGCTATGCACCAGAAACAAATGCTCAGTCACATACTGGGTGAGCTTGGAGCACCACCGGAGACCAGGGAGATGGGAGTGATTGACCACTTTTCTCCCAGGGCGCACTCAGGAGTGGGGCCCCAAGCTCTCAGCTCCTCCAGGCCAGAGATTGGGAGGCCGCCGTTTTCATTCCCATCCTCCAAAGCTCTGTGGAAAGTGTTCAGGGAACAAAAGCTCCGAGAGCGAACCCAAGCAGATTATTTAGCCTTGGCCCCTGGCAAGGGTGGTGCAGTTCTGCCTCGGGCAAACACGTTTGAGAATCACTACAACAGCCCCTCCCCCAGATGATCAGCAAGAGCATCCAGCCAAGACCAAGCTCACTGATCAAGGAGAACAGCGGGACTTCAGAGCTAGGGGAAGGGAATGCATGGAATTCATGGCTTTTTCCCCATGATCCTTTAGTCTTGCAAAGTTAATTAAATTTTTTTAATTTTATTTTTTTCTTATTCTAATTTTTTAAACTTTTCCTCTTTCCTCTTTTAATGTTTTTTAACTAGTTTATCTTAACAATACCTTTCTTAAAAAATCTTTTTAAACCTTCATTATTATAGTCATATTTTATCATAAACTTCATTGTATCTAACTTTTTTTTTTGTATGCAAACAAGGTTTTTTTTCCTAAAAAAATTTGGGATACAGTTTCTTCTACTAGATCAAGATATACCCCAGATCTAGCACAGGGCTATGTTCTAGTCTCCAGCCTGAGCAAATTCTCTCCAGTTTTTTTTTCTTTGTTTCATCCCTTTATTGTGTTTACCCTTATTTTTGTATATATGTAAGTTTTTCATTCTTTAAAATTTTGGGAGGTAGTTTCTTCTAAGAGACCAAAATACACCTAAAATCAAGTGGGTGGCTCTGTTCTATTAACCTAATATATCTATATTTTAAAAATTTTTTTTAAATTTCTTTTGACCACCCCCCATTCTTCTCCCCCCGATTTGGTTAGAATACATTTTCTTGGGGTCTTTGCCACTCTTTTAGTATTTTATTCTCACGTTCATATATTCTTATCTGGATAAAATGACAAGGCGGGAAAACTCACCACAAAAGCAAAACAAAACAAAACAAAAAAACCAAGAGGCAGTACTGAAGGCTAGGGACCTAATCAGTACGACATTGGTAATATGTCAGATCTAGAGTTCAGAATGATGATTCTCAAGGTGCTAGCTGGGCTTGAAAAAGGCATGGAAGATTTTAGAGAAACCCTGTCTGGAGAAATAAAAGCCCTTTCTGGAGAAATAAAAGAACTAAAATATAACCAAGCTTTAATCAAAAAAGTATAAATGAGGTGCAATAAAAAATGGAGACTGTTATTGCTAAGATAAATGAGGCAGAAGAGAGAACTAGTGATATAGAAGACCAAATGATGGAGAATAAAGAAGCTGAACAAAAGAGAGACAACTACTGTACCACAAGGGAAGAATTTGAGAGATAAGTGATACCATAAGACAAAACAACATTAGAATAATTGGGATTCTAGAAGAAGAAGAAAGGGAGGGGGGCAGAAGGTATATTGGAGAGAATTATAGTAGAGAATTTCCCTAATATGGCAAAGGGAACAAGCATCAAAATCCAGGAGGCACAGAGAGCCCCCCTCAGAATCAATAAAAATAGGTCCACACCCCATCATCTAATAATAAAACATACAAGTCTTAGTGACAAAGAGA